TAAATTATATAAACTAGTTTACAACTCAAACAGTATCAGGGCAAAGAGGATAAAATGATTCTCCCAACATGTGGACACGAATTTAATAGGAAATGAAATCTAAGAATTAATTGATTTGAAAAATGTACCTGAGATAAAGAGCAAGAGAGATTGATATGGTTCAAGAGTGGTAATGATCTGATCTGATCTAATCTGAGAATGAAAAAATTAGAGAGTTAATCAGCAGATTTGACAATGAGAAAGTAGAGAAGATGATAGTTCACACTCGAACACCGATTAAGAGAATGAAAAATGTACTTGAGATAAAAGCAAGAGAGATCGATCTTGTTTAAGAATGATATCGATTTTAGATTTGCGATTTGATGAAGAACAGATTGAGTTCGATGAAAAACAGCTAGAGCAAAGCCCTCGAGCGATAGAGATCAAAGAAGAACAGCTAGAGAGTTCAATTGCGAGTGACAGAGATCGATGAAACGCAAACCATGATGTGTGAGAGTGAGATCTGTGAGAGGGAGTGACAAACATACAATACAAAATCTGTAATCAAGTGAGAGAGAGTGTGTGTGTGAGTTGGTTTGAGAATGAGAGTGAAAGTGAGAGCTAGAGCTAGGGCTTCAAATCGAGGGTTTTATAAGAGAGAGAGACTGAATTATGGAAGAGATAGAGAAAGAGAGAGACTAAGTTGAAAAAGACGGAGTTTTAGAAGGTCAATAAATTGACCCAATACGATGGCATTTAACTGAGTTCGGAGATAACGTTTTCAAAACATTGTGTTTAATTAATTTATAATGGCATTTTCATAAACGCCATTTAAAAAACGTTGCCACACGCCCTTTTTCCTATAGTGTCTATGATATAATTTTGAGAGTTTCATAATCATTGTGACATAATGAATTATTTAAATACCCTACATGAATTTTTAGAGAGGTCGGGAGCCTTCGTATAAATTCTACAAGTATGGGGGGTGTCATGCAAAAGTTGGCAATACCTAAACCCAAGCAGGTAGGATATGCCTAAAAATCCGTTGACTTTGTGTTCAATGGTTATGCACAATATAGTAGTGCATATCGGTTTCCTTGTGGATGAATCTGATATTCAGATTTATACAAGAATACCATCATGGAATTGAGGAAACAATTTTTATGAGGAAAAATATAAGGGTATAAGATGTTAAAATGTTAGGACTTTAAAGTTCTTCTGTCTAATCTTCTTAAACCTATTAGTGGCTAGTGAGGCTAAAAGCTTCTTTAAAGCTGTCATTTCTCTAGAAAAAAGTTATTAATTTAACTTTATCTTGCATAGGTAGTAAGCCTTTGGATGCAAGTGAATGAAAGCTGATGAGACAAGCATGTTATCAAAGGATATCAGCAAAGAGAATGCTTGGATTACTTTGATACGTTATCACCAGTTATGGTGAGTGTGATCGCAATTGTGCGAAGTTTGGTCATTAGTCAAGATGGATGTTTAGATAGCTTTCATATATGAAGATTTAGTTGAATAAATCTTTATGGAATAACCCCAAAGGGTTTGTTAATTCCAGGACGATGAAATACTGTAAGCTTGAGAATCATTTTATGATTTGAAATAATCGCTGAAACAATGGCATGAGAAAGTTGATTACGCTATGTTGTCAAGTGGGTTTTTATAATCAATGGGTATCGACAAATGTGTTTATGTCAAAGACATTGACAATAGTATATGTCATTTTGTGTCTGTGTGTAGGTGACATGTTCATTGTTGGTAGTTATACCAAGACGTTCAATACTACTAAGTGTATGTTGAACTCTAAGTTTGATAGGGGCCTTGCAAATGTATATATGAGAATTAAGATTTTCTAAACATCTGCTGGTAGTGTACTTTTTCGGTCTCATCATTTTGATAAAAGCCTTGAGAAGTATATGCAGTTTCCTTGTGGACGAATTTGATATTTAGATTTACACAAGATTACCATCATGGAATTGAGGTGCAGTTTTTATGAGGAAAAAGATGGGGCTAGAAGGTCAGGACTTTAAAGTTCTTCTGTCTAATATTCTTAAACCTGTTACCTATATGGTGGCTAATGAGGCTAAAAGCTTATTTGAATATGTGATTTCTCTAGAAAGAAGTTATTAATTTAACTTTATCTTGCATAAGTAGTAATCCTTGGGATGCAAGTGAATGAAAGCCGATAAGATAGGTTTGTTATCAAAGGATACCGGTAAAGCAAAGGCCTGGATTACTTTGATATGTGATCGCCAGTTATGGTGAGTGTGATCGCAATTGTGCGAAGTTTTGGAGATACATCAAGATGGATGTTCAGATAGCTTTCATGTATGAAGATTTAGTTAAATAAATCTTTATGGAACAACTCGAAGGGTTTGTTGGTTCTAGAATGAGGGAAGTCTTAAGCTTGAAAAATTATTATATGATTTGAAACAAGCACCGTAACACTGAGATATGAAATTTGACAACACAATGTTGTCAAGTGGGTTTTAAATAAATAGGTATTGACAAATGTGTGGATGTCAAAGATACTGACAAATAGATATGCCAGTTTGTGTCTGTATGATTGGTAACTATGAGAAGATGTTCAGAATTACCAAGAGGTTGTTAAACTTAAGTTTGGAACGGAGGATGGGCCTTGCAGATGTATATCTGAGAATTAAGATTTCCAAAACATCTGATGGTGTCATACTTTCTCAGTCTTATTATTTTGACAAGAGTTTTGAGTCAGATACAAGTGTGTTAAAAGATTTCGGTAGATTTCAATCTCTGTTTGACGAGGAATAATGGAAAATTCTCGGATCATAGGAAGGCTAATTATCTGATGAGTTGTACAAGGTCAGGTATAACCTACACATTAATAGACTAAGTAGATACACGAGTAATCCCAATGCCTATCTTTAAAAGACGTTTGTGCAGGTACTAAGGTCTTTACGATGAAGCCGGGATTGTGGGTTGCATAACACTTGATATCCAATTGTAGAAGAAGGGTACAAAGGCACCTACTCGATATCTGATGTAAAGACTATGAATCCATTAGTGGATATGTTTTCTCTAGTAGAGCTACAACCGTGTATCATGAGATTGACGATGGAATCGAGTTCAGTGCTCTACGTAAAGTTATTGAAGATGGCTTTAGCTTTACTGTTTTCTTGAGGATATTTCATGTTAATCAAAACTTGTACTAGCAATTTTGTATACTTTGCGACAATCAGTCAAGTATTGGTAAGGCACGGAGTAATAAGTATAATGAAAGGTCTAGACATTTTCGTCGAAGACATAATTCTATACGATAGTTACTCTCTATTGGTATTGTCTCTATAGGCTACGTGAAGTCTAAAAATAATATTGCAGATCCGCTAATCAAAGTGTTAAATTGAGAGTTAGTAGAAACGTCGTCAAAATGAATGGAATTAAGGCCTTTAGCGAGTGTTACTGGAATGGAAAAACCAACCTAGTCAACTGGAGATTCCAAGATCCAGGTTCAGAGGGATAACCTAATTGTGCGTAACGAGTGAGTCACTCAAGAGGTAAATCTTCTTACTCATTCCTTTATACAGTGATACCTTGTGGGGTAAATGGTTAAGCTGATGCTTTTAATGACCTGTATGATGTGAATAGTCAACCATGGTATAGCGTGATACCTTATGTAGATCACCAATGTGAGTGCGAAATGTGGCTGATTCTTTAAGAATTGACAATGCTGAATTCTTTAAAAATATCACTGAACCAAGCAAGTGTTCTAGGGCCAAATCGGACACAACAACAAGAACAAAACAATGGTTGGAGTGACTCCTGTGTGAGGTGGGTCTAAGTGGTTTTGTATTATCTTAAGTGAGAATGTTACAATACAAAAATAATGAGCCGAAACCATTAGGTTGTGAATGCGAATTGTCTCATAAAGTGGGCATCGATAAAAGTTGGGCTTAGATTCGGACATAGTATTAGTTTGGACTGGGTCTAGGCTTGTGCTTATGCATGTGTTGGGTTTGGTTTTGGACTTAGACTTGGACTTGGATTTAGACTTAGTCTTAAGCTTGGGCTGGGTTGTGCTGTATTGGGCTTAGCTTGTATATGTGTTTGTTATTGGGCTTAGATCGGGTTGTGACCTAACATTAGTATCCGTTTTGTGACCTATTTGTTTGAATTATTCAAACATCATTATATATATGTTTATTTGTATATATTAAGCACATGGGAATTTCAGGCTTCTGTAACTCTCAGCTTTTGATGACGGAGTTGATGACTATATTAGTGGCTATGAGTTTTTAACCTTTGTAACTCTAGCGCTAATGGCTAGTCCTAATGGCTATAGTTGATGGCCTTGGTTAATGACATTTGATAGCTCTCATAATGATAGCTCTCATGGCTAGGGTTTCTCATACTTGTATAAATAGAGACATTTCCCCTTTAACTTAGTAGGACGAAAAATGAGATGGTGTTTTGAGATAATAAAGTTGGAAATGATTTTTATACGTAAGAAAATTTTTCCTATCTTCTTTTTGCTAGCCCCTTCTTTGGTTTTTGTGAGAGAGAGAGTGTGTGTTGCTATTGTCAAGTTCGTCAAAGCTATTCAGAAGATGCTTCTAATCTAGTTGGTTTCGACCGTTATATCTTGGGAGACAGATGCCGGCGTATCTCTAGCACCCATTGGTGAGACGGCGATTTTATTTTAAGAAAACTGTGTATACCACAGGTTTCGATTTGCACCCTTATCTTTTGTTCTTCAAAGTTTTAAATCTAAACTATTTCTTGTATATTATTTTGAATGTCTATGTTAATCCATCTTATAATATGTTCCATGATATAATCTACTTAATTCCTATATTTTTAGTTCTATAGTTTTTTCTGTATTTCATTATTTAATAATATGAGAAAAATTGTTTTGTCATTTCTATTTAATTTTATTTTATATATTTTTCTACTATTATTATGGAAAAATACGAATACTAAGGCATTGTTTGGGAAGATTAAATAAGTCCATACTTTTTATCTTTCTATCTTTTTTGGGTCACATCAATCAATATATTCTCTCTACTTTTTTACACATCTTTTTATAAAAAGTAAAAAAATACACTTATTTAGAACATTCCAAACAACCCCTAAGTTTATATTAGGCCCATTGTTCAGTAGATCTTTTTTTTGGAAATCAAGGGTGATCCTTGGTGCTTCCATTTTCAACATCATTTTCATGGAGTGAGCCAGAATTCAACTCATATGGGTGAAGAGAAAATGTTTTCATGATTTTGTTGATGCTGTATTGCCGAGAAACCAATGGCTTCGGGAGGCTCCTTCCTTTGTTGAGGTTTCGATTTGTACTTTTCAGGTCGTCGTGGTCGTCAAGGTCTTGCATTTCAATGGACGTTTTGACAAGGTGGGCTGATCCTTCTTCTTCTTCTTCTTCCATTTCATCTTTTGATTTTGCTGAGGATGATTTGTTCTTGTACACCAAATAGAGGATTAGTTGGGCCGAGCCCAATATAAATCCAATTGCATTTGGTACCTGAAGATTTTCCATCCTTTCATAAATATGTCACAGTCAAGAAAATCACTCCACTTTCTATTTAAAAATATAAATAAATAAATAATTGACACACGGACCAAAAAGTACGAAAAATTAAAAATAAAATAAAACTCAGACAATTTGGGAGGGGAAAAATAAATCTACACCTTGAAAATTTATTGTGTTATTTTTTTTTTGAAAGCAACTTTCTATCTCATATGTCAAATTTATTATTCTATTTTACAATGGGAAAGTTCTTTGAAATTGACAATATAACACTTTGGTCTTGTTTGGAAAGTTAACTATTTTAGCTGGTTATTTGGTTTTTTTTTGGACTATTTTAGCTTGACTAAAATAGTTATGTTTGGAGCAAATTACAAATACATCTCTTGAAGTTTGCTTAAAATACGAATTGTCCCATGTCGTTTGGAAAATTACAAATATCTTTATGTCAGAATTTTTTATTTAACAAAATTAATTAAAAAAGTGAAATTTCTAACTATTCACATATACAATAATAAAATTATCTGAATTATTAATTGAAATAAAATTTTAACATTATTAAATACTGTTAATTAACTTGATGATTTATTAATAATGAAATAAAATTTTAACATTATTAAATACTGTTAATTAACTTGATGATTTATTAATAAAACGACTTATTTTTTATGAAATTAGAAATCTTAAGGGACATAATGTAATTTCTAGAATCACAATGAGTAATTTGTAATTTAAATAAATATCAGGAGGTGTGTTTGTAATTCACCCTTATGTTTGAGAAGTTGGTTGATTTATTTATTTATATTTTTTTTTTAGTAAATTTGATGGTTGTGAGAGAAAAAGTGAAATAATTATGAGTTATATATGATATTTTGTTTTATTAATTATTTTAGTTTATTTTGTCTTTAAGTGGGCTATTTTAACCCCATCCCCTTCTCAAACCATGATATAATATATATTACCGTTGGGATTTAAAAAATAAAATAAAATTGGCAACAATTGAAATATGTCAAATTTAACTTGTTGAGTTTATGTTAAATGTCAACTCATCATTTGACGTATCAGGTGAATTTCGTTTTATATGTCAAAATTAGAGTATTATTATGCCACATTTAGCACTTCCGTTAGAGCTGCTCTAAAAATTCTTTTTTGGGTTTTTGTTAGGTTAATTCCCTTCCTAAAGTTTTTAACTCCTAAAGTCTTGTTTTTAAATAATTCTTAATTTCTTCAATAAAATAATAATAATAATAATAATAATAATAATGCTTATTTTCTCTGCCCTTTTTTCTTCGATTGGCCTTTCTCTCTCCATCATTTAAACTAATCACACTGACTTGTTTATAATTTTTTATTCATATAACACTCGATCTTTTTTTTTTTATAAATAATTCATTAGGTCTATGATGAAAAGAACATATTGACATATATTTTACATTAAAATAGATAGTTTATTTTAGTTTACCTTTTTGTTTTACACCATCTACTTTAATTATGATCCATTTAATGTTTATCTACTTCCATAAACAATGTCATCCGTAATCTATTTTCTTATTTCATTTTTTCACTCTTAGACTAGGAGTGAAAAAATGATGTACCAAATAAAATTGTATATAATATTTTTCTTTCTCCAAACCTAAGGGAAACCCAATGTAACTTACCCATTCTTTTTTTTTTTTTATACTGCACGCTAAATATTAAAGTTGTATTTGAATTATTAATTTATGTAGTGATTTGAAAAGAAAAAAGAAAAATGTGAGGACAATGTGAATAAAATATAAACTATTTTTTTTATTTTTCTTTTTCTTTTCAAATTTATGATTCAATAAGGATCTATAAAAAGGCTTGGAAAGCAAGATGCAAAACTATGAAATGGGTATATGACATTACAGAGTTCAAATGGTCTATAGCATCTTCATATATATATATATATATATTTTAAATGCAAATACTGAAAAGTGATGTTAAAATTTTAAAAGCACATATTTAAAAAATATAAGAAGACTTACTCCGATGAAAATATCCTTGACAAGGAGAGCATAGACCGACCAAACTCCAGCATTGAGGAAGAGGAAAAATGATAGGAAAAAAGGCATGTACTCTACACTCGTTGTCTTTATCACTGTTCTCTGTTATCCTCATCCATTAAAAATTGAACACAAATGAGAACCTATGCCAAAGATTTCAATTAAAAAAACCAAAATGCTACACAAGTTATGTTTTTCAACTCTTAATTTTTTAGTCCATTTGTAAAACATTAGAAATCAATTTCTCCCTGGTCCAGTCGATGGACTGCAATCGTGGGCCGGTTACATAGCTTGTTCCATAATCAATCCGTTCATATTTTAAATTTATATAAAAACTATTCTTAAAAAAAAAACTTTTTTTTATATTTGTAATTATAATAATATAATTTAAAAATAAATTATAAAATAAATATAATAATGTCATTGAACTTTAATTATTAAACTAATTTAACTCTTTCAGTAAATATGACAGTCCAATCTATTGAGAAGATAAAATAATCGAAAGAGCTAAATTAAACATTTTTGGCCATAAGTGATGACCTTGAGTCACTGCCATAGAATGTCTTCAAAAAATAAAATAAAATATAAATATATTTACTGAGATTTGCTTCAAATACAATTTATCTATGATTTTGAAAATTACATTTTACCATTTGAAGTTTCTAATTTGATAAGAAATGGACCATTCAGTTAATTCTGTTAAATAGTCTTTGGTCGTGTGAAAATATTTTATTGGAGTATGGTTTTTCACTAATTTCTATTGCCCTTTTGTATTTTTCATTAGTTTCTAAATTTTGACCTGAGTAACAAAAAATAAAAAATAAAAAGTCGAATGACACACCAAAAAATGATTAAAAAATTTAAATAAAAATCACACGGTATATGTGTCATAATAAACGACATGTACCAAAGATTAGTTAGAGCAAATCTCCAAACACCCTCATGAGCAATAATTAAGTAAAGAGTTGAATATTAATTGGAAGTAGAACCATAAAAAGTCAAAATCTGATTGAAATGCAATAAAAATTTATCCAAACATTTCCATTACACCCCTGACCTATAAAATTTTATTTTATTTATTAATTTTTTTTAGCAACTAATTTGTATGAGCAAAGGCAGTTATTAATGGCATTTGAAAAGGCTTACCATGACAGCTAGAGGTGCTGCATACATGCCAATAGTCAATGCTGCACATAAAATGCCTACAAAGGTAAGCTTTAGACTTCCATGGATTGTTAGCATAGTCACAGCTATTACTGCCCCAAGAAACCCAACATCCAATATTGCCACCAACTTCATAGATTTAACCTGATTTTCAATACCATTGGCAAGTTTGTAATTCGATGAGAAAGAGTGATGGATCCAGAATTTTTAATATAGAGAGAGAATATATTTGGTAAAATTTTTTAAAAAAAAGCATGGACGGTAACGTTTTTCTGCCAGCACAAAATTTGAAAATAAGATGAGAACACAAGTTAATAAGTATGTCAATTCATATATTGGCGTATAAAAGATTAACGACTACATCTAAAATGATGCATCTTTAGTTGCACTTGACAATCTTTCATGTTATTAAAAGTATTGTGCTAGAATCAATATTAAAACCTCAAATATTATATTTTTTAATAAATGTGATAAGTAACTTGATAACTTTTCCTCCACCTTGTGCTTGTCTGAACTTTTTAGTTTATATTTTGACCCCCATTTTTCAAAGATATAGAATTTAGCCACTTCAATTTTTAAACACCCAGAGTGAATGCCACGTAAATCTAAAAAAAACCTTAGGAGAGCTTAAAATTTTTAGGATAAATTATAAACAGTCTCTGAGATTTACTTAAATTACAAATTATTCCTTATGGTTCTAGAAATTACATTATGCCCCATAAGATTTCTAATTTCATAACAAATAGGTCATCTTATTAATAAATTATCAAGTTAATTAACAGTTTTTAATAATGTTAAAATTTTATTTCAATTAACAATTCAGATAATTTTATTATTGTATAGGTGAATAGTTAAAAATTTCACTTTTTCAATTAATTCTGTTAAATAAAAAATTCTGACAGAGATGTATTTGTAATTTTCCAAATCACAGGGGTCAATTCGTCTTTTAAACAAACCTTAGGGGGTGTATTTGTAATTTATCCGAATTTTTAAACACCTGGAGAGAATGCCACACATATATAATTTGAAGATAAGTAATAACAATGCCACTTAAAAATTAAAAAAAAAAAAAAAATCCTAAGGGGGAGACAAGCTTGTATAGTTTGAAGATAATTAATAACTAATGCTACTATAACAATGGGTTTATTTATTTATTAAATCTCTTGTATGGATGGATCCACACAATAAGATTATATAAAACCCATAATATATTCTTTGTTTTTTAAAAAAAAGGTTGTTTTATTCGAACCTCCTTTTCACCAAAAAATCCATGGTGTTTATTATGCAATTTTGGCCCTAATAAAACCAAAAAGTGAAGTGTTTTTAGTAAAAAGATGTGTGAATAGCACCACTCAATAAATAAATAAATAAATGTCAATCCGATTATTTTTTTTAGATATGGTGGATTTTAATCAGACATGAATGTCTTAAATGATTAAAAAACAGAGATTTTTTTTTTTTTTTTTGGGTTCACCTTGATATCCCTTGGAGCATAGATGAGAAAGAGAGTGACATAAATGAATTGTAAGACAGCACCAGCACCATTTACTGTTAGAATAAGAAGACCCCCTGGCTTGAGAATTCCATAGAAAGTCCACAGAGATGTGCTGAGCAGAGTGGTTATGTATGGAAGTGCTTTGTAATTCTCTGTTGATTTCTTCTTTACCACTCCCTTGAATGTTCCTCTGAGCCACAATACAAATTCATGCAAGCAATTACTATTTGAATTACTCTGATCTTTTGTGGTAAGTTGAGTTTTTCGTTCAAAATGTTAGCAGGGAGGGACTAATGATGTAATTTACCTTACTTGCTTTTAGTCTAGTAGTCATACTTTGATGATATAAATAATAAAATTACTCATAAAATTGTCTTCCCTAAGTAATGAAAGAGAGGTAATTTTATTATTTATATTATTAACACACCCCTCATGTATCCTCCTCATAAGCAAGCCAAACGCATGCAAATATTTTAATTATCAAGTAGATTGTGAGGTTCGAAAAACACATGATCTGTTCTGATTAACCATCAACCCACATAAAAAATTAAGTTATTATGATAGATAACTTTAGTATTTATGTTGTCAATACTGATCAATAATTTATCATCTATAACATCGGACAAGAAATTATGAATTTGAATCTCACCACTTAATTATTATAATATTTTCTCAGCTCATAAAGCATGAAATGGATAAAAACTCTATGCCACTTTGAATAAAGTAAGAATATATCAACCTGTTCAATCATGCATATAGTACTTTGACACATCTCAGAGAATTTCAGATAAAGGAAATTATCATGTTGTTATTTTTAAAGTTTAGTATATACTTACATGGGAGAAGCAAAAACTAGTATAGAGATTATATTCCCTGCAAAAAGATAAAATATGTCATCATATTATGCACTACCAAGTACTAATAGAAGAAGAAGAAGATGAAAAAAAAGAAGACTAGAAATAGAAGAAATCAAATATATTCAAAAAAGTTTTTCATGGAAAAGAAATTAGGCAAACCTATAATGCCAATGATGAAGCTCAAGCCAGCCATGGAAGGAAAGTAGTGTTTTTGGTGATGGTGAGGGAATGAATGAGAGAAGAGAGAGATGATTATATGTGAAGGACAAGGGACAGAAGTTGGGTGGCTGGTGGTGAATTGGGCAAGAAGTTTGGTACAACTTTAAATGATTCTTTCAGATCCACAAAAAAAAAGAAAAAGAAAAAAAAAGAACACACTTTAAATGACTCTAGATCAATGTCCATCTCTTGATATCTGCCACGTTGCTTGTTGCTGGTGGGGAGGTGATTTTGAAATACTCCTTCAATCCAAATAAATCCTTGTAGAATCTTTTTAGTTGTCACCTGAAATGGAAATAACTCGTCCATGGGGCCGGAACCAACACTTCGACAAGTAAGTTAGCCTTTGCGGAAAAATTAGTATTTTTGGTTTGTTGAGTTACAAGGTTTTTAGCTCATCCCTACTCTTTCAGCCCCCATCTCCCTTTTATAAAGTCATTCTCCTTGATATTTTCTCCATGCAACTTAGCCTTTCATCATCACTCTGACAGGATCCATTTCTCAACTATACTTTTCAAAAAAGGACAGTCTGATCCTACCTAATGGGACCGTGTTGACTTAATATATTCAGCTCTAACGGCAACAATAATTTTAACTCATCGTTCTTCTCATTGTCTTTTATGTCTATTTGACGATGACTTTCAATCCAGTGGGCTTTGGTCTTATTCGACCCATCTCGAATGAGGTTGAATGTACTCTGTTTGCTGTTTTAATTATATCTATATTCGACTCCCCCATGCTAGTTTATACATGATACAATAATTGTGATAAAATGTCCTTCAGACAACTTTAAAGGCCCTAATTTTTGGCCTTACATGTCTTTTTGAGTCCATCACGTGGGTTTGCATTGTCCTTTTTTGTCTGCTGAAATTCTCACTCTTTAAGCTATGGAAGTGATGAGAAAATGTGAAAATGCTTTGAATATCTAGCTAGGTAAGAGATAATGGGATAACAATTGAGTAGTTATGGGATATTTTATGCCATATTATCAATGCAGTTTTTAATTAATAATGTAATGAAAATTGTATAGAACGACAATGTTAATTCACCTATGTTACTTAATTTTTGTGATTTTTTATTTAACGAAAACATCATGTAAATAATATGAGATCATTTTTTAAAATCATTTTATAGTTTTTAACAATTTGTGGGGTCAACTTTCGTAGTGTGGCATATTGAGATAGGGTGTTGGTGGGAAGACTTTGGGAGATCTCTAACTGAAGCATGATTACATTTGATGGCTCTCCTTTTCTCTTTTCACTTTTCACTTTTGTCGTTCCTTTTACGTTATGGATGTTGTACAATGATGGATCATTTTGTAATTTTACCTATTATTTCTATTCTTACCGTCGGTAGTGAGAGATATTTCCTTTGTCTTTTGAATCATTTGCAATTTCGCTTGTCACCTTTAATATTACGTCGGCAGAGGGAGATATTTGGAACTTCCATTTCAACATATCATTTTTACTTTGGGCAAGTTTGGGAAGATCCAAAAAAGTCAAAAAGTCAAAAAGTTACTCAAAAAGCTAAAAAGTTAACACTATTCACCAAAAGTCAACAAAAATTTTGAATTTTGCTTATTTTGAAAAGTGATTTTAATTTAAATAGGTCCCTACGAATCAATTTTTTCATTTTTTTATTACACATTTTTCAATAAAAAGTCAAAAAGTTAACCCAAACATCCATATTTTCAACCTCAATTTTTTAGTCCAAAAAGACAAAAAGTGCACTTTTTTAGTCTTCCCAAACTTGGCCTTTGTGTACATTCTTTTTAATTCATACACTTAAAAAATAATAAATATACAATATATGCTCACTTCATGCATTTTTATTTCAAATATATCCTAACAAATAAAAAGTAAACACACTACAACATTGTCTTAGTTTAATGACATTTAAAAGTGTCACAAAACTATTGGTTTAATGACATTTTTTAGTTTTGTAGCATTTTGAACAAGTGCCATTTGTATCCGTGCCACGGTAGATACTAGTGCTACGGTAGATACTTGCAAGTGCTACTACACCATCATGGCTAAAAACTTTCAATGACATTTTGATGTCATGGTAGCTATTATTTGTGGCACTATCAAGCGCCATTAAAAAAAGAGTTAGTGACACTTATAAGTGTCATTATACCATCAAGACTAAAACATTTCAGTGACATTTTAATGTCATGGTAGGCATTATTCGTGACGCTATCAAGTGTCATTCGTGACGATAATTCGTTGTAGAACAATTTGATCCGCTCAAAGACTCGAACCGTCAACCTCTCGCACCATAAACTTTATACACCACACTCTTCCCATTACACCTCTATAGCACCACATGATTATATATGCAACATATATTATTTATATAGTAAATGCATCCATATTAATATAAAAGTATATGTATAAACATAATTATTTTATTGAACATAATTTATTTAAAATAAACTATTTACTAGCAAAATAAAAAAGACCACTTTTGGTGACTAAAAATATTTTTTAGTTGCCAATTCTATACTTTTGGCTACTAATTGTTTTTTAGTTGCTCAAAAACTTAACTTTTGCCGACCAAAATCGGATTTGGTCACCGAAGATGCACTTTCAGCTACCAAAATTTTGGTCACCAAAAAATTTAATTTCTGCCTTAGGATTTTAGTTCTCCTGCGCTAAAAATGACTACTTTTAGCGACTAAACTTATTTTTTAGTTGCCAATTGTAGACTTTTGGCTACTAAAATTTTTTTAGTCACCAAAAAGCTTTACTTTTGGCTACAAAAATTGTTTTAGTCGGTAAAACCCATATAATCAGCAACCAAACTTATTTTTAGTCGCCAATTGTAGACTTTTGGCTACTAAATTTTTTTAGTCGCCAAAAAGCTTTACTTTTGGCTACTAATTGGTCACTGAAAGTTATACTTTCAGCGACCAAATTTTTTTTGGTCAGGAAATTTAGTCGCCGAATGTGTTTTTTTCCTGTAGTGTGTATTGAGTTTAATTTACTTATTTTTAATCATTTACTGCATTTTAAAAATTTAGAAAATATATTGGCATTTTATGTTTTTTAAAAAATGCCATTATAAGCTTGGAAAGTTTTTGGCTTAGTGGCATTTCTCAAAATGCTATAAAATATTTATTTATGACACTTTTCACCTAAGTGCCATAAAAAGTAATTTGCACCTACCTAGTGTCCTGACATTTTTTTAAAAATGCCATTGCTACTAAAGTTTAGTGACATCTGTTGGTAAATGTCACGAACATAATATTTTGTGTCATTATTTTATAAAATGTCATAAAATTGATGTGACTTTTCTTTATTGAAATGCCACTAGAGCCTTATATGTTTGTGGTTCTGTGGCATTTTTCTAAAACATTTAATGCCAATTTTTATTTTTGTGGCATTTTCTAAAAACATGCCACTAGTGTAGTGTCACTAAGTGTAAATTTGTTGTAGTGACATTTTCGTTGTAGTGAAGTGACACTTTTTTTAATTGAAATGCCACTAGAGCCTTGTATGTGTCGCGCCCCACTTTTTATTACTCGAAGTATTACCAATTTCATTTACTTAATTCAATTTCAGAGATAACATGCGGAAATAAACTCGTATATTCAACTCGTAGAAGTGAATAACATTGCTCTCATTCGTATGCAAGTAAATACAACATGAGTATAATAAATAAATTGCCCTTGGGCTTACATCATTAACGAATCAAGAAGAAGGGTGCAACCCTTTTACACATATGGCATTCCGCCAATACAAGAGAGGCCCCGTGGCCAACAAATAAGAAGATCCAAATCTTGCAGCACATTCAGCTCAACACCTGAAAAGATTCAACAACGTGGGATGAACATATAGTCCAGTAGGGATCTCAACATGGCCCTCAACAATAACAACTTACAGATAGCTATGATCATGAATGCCCAATCTCATACTAGAATAGTAATGTGACAGTTTATACAAAATATACATAAGTATGAACTTTCTCGAAAACAGCCATTTCATTCAACGCTATAAGTGATTCATCTTTCCTTTTTCTTTCATTAACTCCAATCCTTCATAACATTAACAATTACTTAGGAATAATCTCACTAAGCCCATTTCTCTCTTCCATTTTCCAAATGACAAATTGACATTTTGGTTCGTTTCCAATACAATCATAACTATACATGCATACCTTTATAAAAAATAAGATAACAACTCACTAACATGTATATAATCAACCAATGAGGTAACTTGGCCCTTCGAAACTGTAACCAACCAAATCCATGATATCCTCAGATACAATGGAACAACAACAACAAAACTTTGCTCTACCAGCTATGTGTGTAGTAAGCCAAAGATACACCTCTCACAACAACATACCAGTTTACCAGGCGCTAGCTGGAAGGGTGTGGTACCTTAGATTCTCAGCGCAGTCAGTTTTCCAGGCGCTAGCTGGAAGGTCACGGTACCTCTGATTTTTAGCGCAAGGTATAACACCACCAACCAAAACACAACAGGGCATAACTAACATGCATAACACATATACATAAACCATCAAGATACAAGCAATGTGTTAAAGTATATGAAGACATAATTAATTCCCCCCGAGCAAGTATACATATATAATGTATCTCAGCACTTCCTTACATACAATGTTCAATCAACAATGGTATAATGTATACACGACAATTCAATACAACCATGTCATCCTCCACCGATGACCAAGGACAAAACCTCTAGATGCAAGTGTTTAGTACATCTATTAAAGATTCAATTACTATGAGACCACAAACCCAACAACAACACTAACACGGTAGTTAAAGATACAACCCCCACGTGTGTGTATTTAACACTCAAGAAACAACAATCCAATTTTCATACCTACGTCAAAGATACTTTTCTCATTTCACAAAACAAATTCCATTTCCTTTTGTTTTCACAAAACCAACTCCACCCCTTTTGTTTCCACAAAACCAATTTCGATGATAATAAAGCCATAACTCACATTAGCCCACTACATTCATTTCAAAACCATTCCAAAGCCAAAGTTAACCCCTTAGGCATTAACACCTTCACCCAACTCGCATTAACAATAGAGATTTACAACATAGGTTAACTACC